GACCACATCAGCCCCAACCATGGTGGGGCTGAAAATTTATGATTATGGCACCCAATCTAGATGACCAGGAAAGTTAACACAGTTAAATTTGAATATTAGTTTCTTTTTTTACCATTTTAAAAATAGTTTGGAAGAATATATAAAGGGGGTAAGGGTGGGGTGGCTGAGCCTCCCTTGAATTCCACACTGAATATTACTATGTGCCATTGTAAATACCGTATGTCTTAGTGCTATACTTTAGAGGTTATTTTTTTTTTTTAGCAAAATCATGAAAATTGTAGGTGTCTAGATGCTAAAGAAGAAGGTCTATGAATGTATACCTTTGCCTTCTGTTGAAGGAGTTTTAGTGGTAGTTCTACTAGTTGATGTCTCCACACCCATAGTCAACTGATCATCATCGTTATCATCAAAGATAACAGTTGTCTCGCCAAGAGGAAGTATTGTTGTTCTAGTCTTCAAATTATGAGGTCTATCAGGCGTTGTTGAAGGTACCGCTGTCGTAAGTTGTGCGGTAGCTACATATTAAATTTATACATGGATTATTTCAATTCATTGTTAAAATTCGTAGTATTGTATAATTAAACCCAGGCTCCCGAAGAAAAACAAATTTTGATATGTGGTGCAACACACAAAAAGTGTTTGACAAATAGGCCTAACTCTGGAGCGGTTAATGAGATACAGATTTTAGAATATTTAAAAACTGGGAGAAAAGGTGGCGTAAACACCCAATCAACCTCCCACCCCCTGCCCACCCCACCCCCACATCTTTTTAAATATTTGAAAACCTGTGTCTAATCAGGGAACAGTGAAATTACAATTCACTGTTAATTTCACTGTTCCCTGGTCTAATTAACCGTTTCCGAGTTTTTCATTAAACAACCTTTTTTTTAGTGTCTTAGTAGAATCAGTTGTACAACATATCACATTTTGTTGTTTTCTCGGGAGCCTGGCTTTAAGTAATACATTCATTATACTGTAATTACAAAATATCACATTTTGTGGTTTAATATACATTAAAATATATTAAATTAATTTTCATGGATGTACATAGATATACAACTACATATAGTATGAAATAGCTTTTCAGTCGCAATGAATTAAACTTAAAATTGAGCAGTGATACATTTGGCATAAAAATGGGTGCATTTAATTGGAACATCATTTTGAGGATAAGATGTAAGAGATAATAAACAGCATGCAAAATTCAATTTAAATGTCTTTCCTTCCAAATTAGTCTTAATTTTGGGTTATGTAAGAAATAAATTTGTTAATTAAAAGTAATTTCTCCTGAAAAACCCTGAAATTTGTCAATACTAAATGCAATATTATCAAAAACCTATTTGTCAATCAAAAGTGTTTTATTAGGAAAAAGTAGAAAAAATGTTTGGTTCGGTTAGTTACTTTGTCTATAGTTGCATGCTGAAGTAAAATTAAATTAGTAGAATAATGTCCAGTGTTTTCATTTTGTTCTCTTTTCTTTGTTGTAAATTTTTTGAATTTAAATAATCAAATGAAAAAATAAAAGAAATTGTATCTTGTCGACCCCATCGAGGCATTAGATGAATAAGTACTTACATGACAGCCCCATCTGCTTTGGTCATTATTGTTGCATCAGCATATTAACGGGCCTGAGTATCAGTTTATTAAAGAGCTTAGTATCATTTTATTAACAATCCTAGTATATTTAATATTAACCAACATATTAAATGCACTTTTAACCTTTTCTACCATTTTTTCATCAAACTATAAAATTGCCTTAGCAGATGTGTACACTGACAAATTTATCATTCAAATTGATGTTAAAATTGGTAGAGTTAAATTTAAAAGTAATAAGTGTTCTATTGAAACTTTTGTATATTTATTATTAGGTTTGCTTTACAAAATATTGTAGAATGAAATTTATATTTAAGACATTATTTCCTTATTGGAGAGTTTTTGCCATGTACCCCTAAAAAATGTTGTATTTATTTTAAAGATAATTATCTTTTTTTTTTTTTTTTACAAAAATATATCTTAAAATATAATCAAAAAAAATATTTCATTCTTCAAAATAAATAGAGGGTGGTATTTAAGCCTAATATTTTTACAGGTGATTAATAGGGGTTGTTGATGATATACTTACACGGTCTCAATCGTGGGACACATTCAAATTGTACTTCTAGGTATTTGCTGACCCCCTCGCATGGGTCCCCTTGGAATTCATAAATGGTAGCATCGATGCGGCAGGAATTGCGTTCGTCACATCTGGATATGGGTCCAAAGCAACATGCAGAATAATTATTAGCTGTTAGTGGGGTCGTGTGTCTACCAAAATCGCATGCTCAAACAATGACATGCGGTGAACTTAATATAATAAATTATAAACAATAATTTAATGTAAAACACACAGAACCACATAAAGTTATGCCTCCTAAACTTACTATTCATCAGTTAAAATACCAACCAAAAATAAAATTATTATATACTTTTTAATATCGATATTACTTGATAAAGGTTGAAATTGTAAAAAAAAAATAAAAAATTAATGTGGCTTTAAAAATAAAAATTGGAAACTGTACATTATTTACATGTCCATTTAAAATTTGTTTTAATTCATTTTTATGGATATTTTGTTTAGGTTTTGGCAAACTTTTTTATTTAAAAAACTCTATGTCAAAGGCTTCAAACTATCATCAGTGATTGAAATGCTGCAATCCTCATTAAACTTGGCTCATATGCAAAAAAGACAAAAACCAATAACAAATCAATACTCCGGCCCAGTGTAGCAAAACAACTTCATTATCCTCAATTTAATACGGTTGCACAATGTATATAAATCCCGGCAGTCACTGCGTCGTATGGCGATTGTACGACCGTCGGCCGACGAATCTAACTCCACTTCATGTGAGCGCTAGACACTTCATGTGGAAGCGGTTGGTGCATCGGTTGTGGCTTGGACTCCCAACCTCGAGGTCGGGGGTTCGACACTCTCGTTGTGCAAATCGCTTGTGTCCTTGGGCAAGGCACTTTATCTACAACGGTTGCCTCTCTCCACCCAGAAGTACAAGTGGGTACCTGGTAGGTTCGAACACAACTGCGCTGATTACTAGCTGCAATATTATGGAATTCTCCCCAGGGAGCTGAGTAAGTGTTCCATATGTGTTTGATCCAATGACCGGGGTAGTAATGTGAAGCGCTTAGAGGCATTGTGCATGAAGCGCTATATAAGAGCGACATATTATTATTATTAGACAACGTGATGCCATCTAATGATTCAGTGGCGGATCCAGTAATTAATCATAATTAGTAGTCCAGTAGTGAGGGGCAATACAACCCCTGAGCCCCACCATTGTTGGGTAAGAAAAATTAATATGACTATGGTACCTCCAGATGGCCGGAAATGGTACTCTCAGACTTAAATTTGAATATAATTTTTTTCCCCTTCCATTTCACCAAATCAGGGAAAGCACTGGGATGGCTGGATCATCCCCCACAATAGAATCCGCCACTTTATTTGCCATTATAATTGCCATATTATATTATCATCTGATTAACATTATTATTACTATGAGAAAAGGCAAATTTATTTGATTACGTTATTCATGATATTCTCATAACTATCAGTCAAAAATGTAAACAGTTCACTGACCCCTCTGAATAATCCATCACATTTGACCGACTGGTCATCATTATTGCTCATAAAACGACAAGGCCATCATACGCACTCAATAAACAAACGCCAATTATGAATTACTATGATTGATAAGGAACTCAATCTTGCAAATAGATTGCAAAATTTGCATTGCTCTTGATGTTGCAAGCATTTACAATCTAGTTAGCATATAAACCAGTTTCTAATACATTTGGTGGTGAATTGGGCACATGTAAAAGAATGACACAATCCCCCATTCATCTTTAAAGCAGAGAAAGGCCTTGATGTCTATCAAATGGTATACAAAGTGTGGTTTGTATTGAGTCACACTTAATTATTAATCAATTGATCAATTAAGTCCCAAGGTCATAACAGGTAGCCAGTTATATAATAATGTTAACACTGTTAAACTTAGGGGTCGCTCACAATTATCAACATTTTCATAAGTGTACATACAGTCCATTTTCGGTGGTACTGTACTTCCATCCCCTCTTGTGAAGTCAACTTCAATACTGTACATGGTTGCATAAGAAGTGTCTATTTTATCCATAGTTGTATTATAGGTGGTAATACAAATATATTAATTTATATATTGCATGTAATTTTGAATCAACATTTTTATGCATGTACAAGTGTATAAATTTGTCTATCCTTCTTCTTCCCCTCCCCCCCCCCAACCACCCACCCAAGAGTACTGTTTGTACACTTGTAAAAATGTTGATAAATGTGAACGACCCATTATGTTATGCTGGTAGAATACTGTATCTGTCAGAGCATAGATTCAAAGCAATCATGGCCTATCTTTTTTTTTTTTTTTAAATTTCATTACTTAAAGGCCTATCTCTCTCTTTTTTTTTAATGAATTTTATCTTTACTTGTAACTTTTGTTCTGTCGTATGGTTGAACCTCTCCTGCGTGAGAGTGTTCCTCTGCTTTAAAAGAGAGAGCCAATAAATTATTACTGTCTCCTATAAGCATTTAACATGACATATAAAATTTGAAACTTCCTCCACTCCCTGGGAGTGTTGTTTTCCTTTTCTTTCCTAGCTTTATCAGTTAGCGTACTCATGTGAGATTCAATTTATAACATTCCATTTATTAATTTATTCCAATCATCAATTTTGTTTTTATCTCAGTTACTAATATGATATGACTGGAGGACAGGATGGCGTCGCAGATAAAATGACTGAATCCAGGCACTGTATTGTATGTTTATTGACATCCCCTAGTCTATGGACTTATTTCCAACCATAAAATGCACAAACCAGACATGTCATGTAGATAATAAAAAGGAACTGGTGTTTTCTCAAGGACTTTTGTAACTATAGTGTACAAATGAAAGTCATGGGTTTTACTATGGGCCATGTCATCTCCAAACAGCATCCATCGCAAAAAAATAATATATTGACTCTTCAATATATTTCTATTTTCCACATTATTAAAAAGACTCGTCAAACACATTTATTTCAAGTTGCTTTTAATCATTAATTGTTTTTTTGTTCATTGTACTTTTTTTGTTTTTTGATTTTCCATGTTTAGTATGTTTGTGTGCACCTCGGAATAGGTTTACCTACATAGATGGCGCATTATAAATGCATTATTATTATTATTATTATTATTATTATTATTATTATTATTATTATTATTATTATTATTATTATTATTATTATAAGGTTTAAAATGATGGGTTATTTACTGGAATCAACTTAAAGCCCCATTCCCGGCAAAATTTCACTAAAAGCTGACTTCTTTTTAGAAAATATGCATCTGCATTACTCCAATTATTATAAATCATGGAAAAATATTGGCATGAATTTTTGTTTTACATAAAAGAATAAAAAAAACGAGAAATACAGACTATTTCTCATAAAATATTACCATTTT